GAGCCCCGCGTCGGGCTCTGTGCTGACTGCCAGCTCAGAGCCTGGAGCCTGTTTCAGTCTGTGACTCCCTCTCTCTCTGACCCTCCCCTGCTCACACTGTCTCTCTCTCTCTCTCCTAGAAATAAATAAAACATTAAAAATTAAAAAAAAAATAAAAAAAGGAGGACCCGACAGTGGAACAGGGCAGATGAAGAGTTTATTAGAGAGAGTCCACTCTCAAGAGGTAAGACTGGGTGAGCTCAACAAGACAGCTGTGCCCTGGGTTTGGGTTGCTATCTTTTATTGACAAGTGTTAACAAAGGGGAGGAATATTTATTATTTGGGGAGGGGATGTTTTGGGGAGCCTGGTTTCCTGCCTTTTCTCCCTTACATGGCCAGGATCTCCTGCCTTCTTTGTCTTGGGCCTGCCTGGTTTGATTGGGCTTTCTTGTGGCTTTGTTTGTGAAATGCTGTCTGGACAGGTTGCTAACTTTCCTGATAACAGGCTTTGACTCTCCCTTTGCTGGCCTCCAGGCATCCTGGCAACGCCTACTGCCTACTCCAACAATGTAATAACTGTAGCAGTTAACTAGGAACCAGCAAGGGGTTTAGACCAGGGCACTTCCGGGTGTCTTTAACTAATGTATGGTAGTCTGGGTAGGAGGAGGAGGCAGGAAGACTGGAAGCTGTTTTGGTAAAGCTGGCAGAACATGAAGACGACTCACCAAAAAGGAAAGGGAGAATTTTACTCCCCATCCCAAGTGTTCTCTTGTGAGCCCTCTTCTGTACTTACTCCCTGGAAAACAAGGTACAGTTCCCTAACTGCTTGATTTCAAGAAGATTTTTGTTTGTAGTGTTTTCTTTGGCAAGTAAAAGAGAGCTCTTTTGTGTCTTTTTAAAAAAATAATTTTTAAAATGTTTATTTACTTTTGAGAGAGCACAAGGGGGGGAGGGGCAGAGAGAGAGGGAGACACAGAATCCAAAGCAGGCTCCAGGTTCTGAGCTGTCAGCACAGAGCCTGATGTGGGGCTCGAACTCAGAGACCGCGAGACCATGACCTGAGCCGAAGTCGGACTCCCAAAACCGGCTGAGCCACGCAAGCGCCCCTTTCTTTCTTTCTTTTTTTTAAATATATACCTTTAATGTTTATTTTTGTGTCTTTTTTTATTCAGGTTCTGGGTCATAAGGAATGGAGGTAAAATGCTTGTGGTCAGTAAGGGATCTGGAAAGGATGCAATCAATAGAATTTGGTTGGATGGGGAGACTTCATGATAAATCCCAAATTTTAAATGTCAATGACTAGGAAAATGGTAGTCTCCCAATGGCAAATAAGATAGTGATTTGAGAAGGACAGTATGCTTACACGGGCTCAGTGGGAACCTACAGTAGGCTTTTCACGCCAAAATATCCAGAAGCTGTTGAAAAGCCAGAGCTGGTATTAATAATAAAAAAAAAAAAGTAGGGTTTGGAGATAATACAGCTGTCTGTTGTCTGCATGCAGATAAAGCAGTGTGTGGTGGGTGTCTGTTTGGAGGGATAACATGGTGGCAATGGACAAGATGGCCCACGGGAGAACTTTGAGGAAATAGAGAAGAAGGGGACCCATCTAGAGAGAGAGAGAGAGAGGACAGGAGGTGAGAGAGAAGTAGAACATACAGAGATGTGGAGGTAAAGGGAGGGATGTGGAGGTAAAGATGTGGAGGGATGATAAATGCAGGAGACTGGTGGAGGAGGGCGAGGGGAGGAGGTTGTAGTCGCAGGGGTTGTATTTGATGATAAAGGGTCACTTCCCCTGGGCAGTCTTTTGTCCCACTCCAGGCCATCCAGGATTGTCTTCCTCTTCCTCAGGCTTAGCCTGAGCATCGGTGACAGATTAGCCACCAGTGTTTGCTTGTGCATCCGTTTGCTCTTGATATCAAATGCTTGCAAAGAGCAAGGTCCGTGTAGAGTTGTCTACACAGTGTGTATCGGATGAAGGCTCAGGAAATTAAGGCCACTCCCGGAGAGAGCAGTTTCAGGAGAGCACTGAGAAGGAAAGTCCAAGTGTAGGGTGTTATGAAACAGGGAGATGGTAAGAAATGAAGGAAGCGTCTGATTTAGAAGCAGGGCAGGCAGGCAGGCAGCTATGAGCAAAGAGCGGAGAGAAAGCAAATCACCAAGAAAGAAACGGAAAGAATAAAATGTTTAATTCTAGGGTAGAAGAGATTTGCCTGCTTCTTCTAAAAAATTTTTTTTAAATGTTTTTTTAATTTATTTTTTTAGGAGAGAGACAGCGTGAGCAGGGGAGGGTCAGAGAGAGAGGGAGTCACAGACTCCGAAACAGGCTCCAGGCTCTGAGCTGGCAGTCAGCACAGAGCCCGACGCGGGGCTCGAACCCACGAACCGCGAGATCATGACCCAAGCGAAAGCCGGACGCTTAACCGACTAAGCCACCCAGGCGCTCCTAAAANNNCCAAAACCTGTTTTTCTTAATACTTCCTAGTAAGAGGGAGAGGGAGACACAGAATCCGAAGCAGGCTCCAGGCTCTGAGCTAGCTGTCAGCACAGAGCCTGATGGGGCTCGAACCCACAAGCTGTGAGATTGTGACCTGAGCGGAAGTTGGATGCTTAACCGACTGAGCCACCCAGGTGCCCGGAGATTTACCTGTTTGTAAACTGTGGTGTGAGCCGATGGAAAGGAGTGGATGAGGATGCAAGAAGAGACTGTGTGCCAGATGGAGTGATTTTGAGAGGGACGGGTAAATGCTGGGAGGGATGAACCTCTGGCAGAGGGCAGGGGTGGGTGAAGTGCAGAGAAAGTTGTGACAAGTGGGCTATGAACTGAGGGTTCATAGTGAACGGTGAGGAAGGAACCTATGGCCTAATTAAAACATACTCCGGCCTTGAAGTTCTAATACTGCCCTATATCGGCCCCCGGGACTGTGACCTAACAGTTTCTCAAAGCCTCAACCTTCCTTTAGGTAAAATGGAGGTACTCCCATCCCGCTCCCCAAGTCAGATGTTGTCCTCCTGTTTACTTGCAAGTGCTTTCTTGGCTTTTTGTTTTGGTTTTAAATTTATTTGGGGATGCTTCCCTTAGAGGGTAGAGACGCCGGGAGGGCGGTCTGGATGTTATCAGCTGAAGCAGGAGGTGGGCTTTCTGAGCATGAAGGGACACCGAGAAACCATAGGCTTGAGGGCTCAGGAGGTTTTCTGAGCGCTGAGCACAGGCTACGAAGAAAGATTCAATGCGCATAAAAGGACCTGGAAACATCTGTGAAGACCGGGGTGGAGGAAGATTAGAGGACAAGGATGCCTCATCCTGGGACAGTCAGGCCCCCTAGCTGGAAAGTAGGTGCTCGCTGACGGGCTCTCGCAGGTGAGGGTAATACGAGAGGCAGGCGCCCACCTGGGACCCGTGCATCCTTTGGGACGGCATGACCGCAAGCATTTGGAGGTGGTGGGGGGGGAGGGGGAAGGCCCCATTAATTTCCACGCAGCTGCAACGAAGTGCCAGTCCAAAGATTAGGAAGCCCGGGCAGGAGCCGGGTGAGGCCGTGGGTGTGCTCTGGCCGCTGCAGGGCCTGCGCAACCGGGCGCACGTGGCCGGCACTCGCGGTGCGGCGCGCTCTAACCACTGCAGGAACTTCAGGAACTTGGCTTTTCCTCTCGGGCCCAAAGCGCGACCTTAGGGTTTGGCGTGTTTTTTTTTTCTTTTTGTAAATTGCTGAGTGTGGAGAGGCCCCGCCTTTCCGGGCCCGGCCTTGGCCGCCGGGCCGCCCCTCCCTCGGGCAGGCGCTCCTTCCCTGACGGCGTTGTAGGGCCTGGAGGCGGCGGCGGCCCTTGAAACTCATGGCGCTGCCCGCCTGGCTGCAGCCCAGGTAGGGCGCTCGGCCGTGGCGGGTGGCGAGGGGTGCGGGGGAAGGGGTGCCAGGGGCGGGGTTCCATCCCCCACGGTCCCCCGGCAGCTCGGCGCTGCGCAACCCAGCGCCCCGCGCGCCCTAGCGCTCTGGGCTGGCGTTAGCTGGTTCGGTGCTCTCGACAGCCCTAGAAGGAAGCCTCTGTTATTTCCCCCATTCACTGACGAGGAAACGCGAAGGTCAGGCTGCACTGCCACCCCTTTCCTTTGGTGCGCCTTCTACCAGCCCCTCTTCCCTCCTCCCCCCGCCCACCAGGAGCCCTTCCCTTACTTTCTCAGATCCAGTGTAGCGCGGTGGTGTTTAGGTTTACCCAGCGCAGAAACATCTATTGCGTGTGTAGATTCCAGGGCCCTGTTCCAGAGAAGCTGGCTCAGTGGTACTGGGGTAGAGCCTAGGGAATGTGAATGTTTACCCAGCACGCCAGGTGATTCTTATGCAGGTTTTAAGAAGGAATCCTCCATCCCCCCTTCCCCCATGGGTTGGATGCCTGTTAGCAAGCCACACTGTATCTGCTTCGCAGCCTATTTGCTTTATTTCCCAGATTTCACATCTCCGAAGTAGAGAAATCCTTGTATATACTAGCAGGGCCACTCCCACCACCCTTCTGAACCCCCCAAGGCACACTTCAAACAATGTTTTTCCTAACTACCTCAAACTGTGTATCTGTCAATCATCCCTTAGTCATCTCCCCAGCAACCCATTTTTAAACTCAGCTGGACTTCCCTTTTCTGGCTGAGCCACAAAACTGCTTTCTCTATGTGTCTGGTGGAGGGAACGATCCGCCCTTGCAAATATAATAGGCAGTAGCGAGGTACTGAACCCCCATCACAATACATTCAAAAGTCGGGTATGGCCAACTCCCAAAGTATGGCCATTTGGAAATGCCACCGTCACCACTCCCCTCTGGTAATTGTAAAGCAGTCATCTCAAGTTCTGCACCCAGCGGCCTCAGCTACAGCCACACGCTGAGCACATCAAGCCCTCACCAGCCTTTTTTTTTCTCCCCCCAATACTCAGCCATCTTTGCAACGCTTCATTTTATCCTTCTGTGAGAGCAGGGCTAGAACTTCCTCAAAGCTGAAAGTGAATTTTGAAATAGAGCCATATTTGGCTTTAAGGAAACCAAAGATACTCCTTTTAGCAGATAATGGGTGGGTCATTTCAAAATCTGTGCATTACAGAGGCACCTAAGTTAAAGACTGCTCTGGGCTAGTTTTCTCTTGCTCAGGTGGGCCAGTAGGTTCACGACAAAATGTGTGTGTGTATGTGTGTGTGTGTGATGCTGAAAGGATTACAAAGGAAGTGTTTAATGGTATTTTACTGTATCTCTAGGTATAGAAAGAACACCTATCTTTTCATCTACTACCTAATCCAGTTCTGTGGCCACTCATGGATATTTACCAATATGACAGTCCGATTCTTTTCATTTGGAGAAGGTAAAACTCCAGCAAAAACAGTTTTGGGTTTTTAATTTTGAATCCTTGTTTTCACCCCGCCCTGCTTATATTAGCTTTTTAACTTCTTTGAACTTCACCTAATGTCCTTCACTGCTCTAAAATTTACTAACCATATTTTTCAGTAACCTTGCTTCCTATTGCAGAAACCAAAGCCCTTTCTGGAGAAGGGGGCAGGTACGATGAGGAAAGGGATTTAGTTTCCCTCTGACTAGGCAAGTTGCCCTGAAAACACAGATCTGCCATTGGGGCATGCCATTTCACTCTCCCTTTTTGGTTCTGCAGCAAACCTTAGCAGACTTGAGAGGCTTTGAGGAAATCTGTAAATTCCAGTATGACATTGTGTGCCGTGAAATCAGGAATTAACCAAATTCTTCCCTTTAAAAAAATTTTTTTTAATGTTTGTTTATTTTTGAGAGAGATGGAGACAGTGTGAGATGGGAGGGGCAAAGAGAGAGAGGGAGACACAGAATCTGAAGCAGGCTCCAGGCTCTGAGCTGTCAGCACAGGGACTCGAATTCATGAAAGGCGAGATCATGACCTTAGCTGAAGTTGGACGCTTAACCAACTGAGCCACCCAGGCGCCCCTTTCGCTTGTTTTTTTATTCCCCAAGTTTAAGGTAACTGGAGACTGCTAATAAGTGAAAGACAAAGTTTACAGTCCCCAGGGTTCTCTTTGGTCCCCTTTAGGAGTAATGTGTCCCTAAGTAAATGACACAGCTTGCAGAGGACTCCCCGTCTATATGGGAGTTGGTGTTAATGGTTTAAGTTGAAGTTTCCTCCAGTTTTCTAAAAAGCAAAGATTTTAACTAGCATTTCAATTTTTAAGAAATGAATCACTAAGTGACTGTCAAAATGACAATCTTCTCACGCTCCATCCCCACATGGCTAAGTGTCATCACAGTGTACAACTGTGGGGTGACTTGACTGTTTGAGCAACTGCTGGATTCAGCTAAAAACAAACATCCAGAACGTACCCGGGAAAAGGCATGCTGTGCTCATCAATTCAGACTTGTGTGTCATAAGGAAGTTTAATTCTGAGGGACCAAAAGCTATTTCATGTCGCTCTTTTCTTACTGCAGATCTGTAGTTAAAGGCTTACCTTCAGCAGCCTCCAAAGATACAACCCAAGGCTTGAATTTCATCTCTAAATGTCGGGAGTCTTCAAGCAGAGGAAAGCCCAAGCCATGGGAAAACTTCCTGTTTGTGTATCAGAAAAAAAAATCAAAACCTCGAGGCCTTGGAAGTTAGCTGGGGCTTTGTGGGCAATTACAACTCATTCCCAACAAGAGTCCTAAGCACTGAACTCTTTCTTGTCCTGCCTGGCCTTTCCAGTGGGCAAAACTCCCATAGTCAGCAGTGTGTTTATTTCTTAATTATTATCTTGCTGTTATAATTATAGAAGCCACTTATTAAAGAAACACAACCATTCATATGGAAAGCAGACTGCAAACACCCACGTGGGCATTCAATACCCTTCCTGAGTCAATGTACAAATTAGCGTAAGTAGCTTAACAGCAGTCTAATCACCTGAATAGTAACACCTGCTACCTTTCCTGTCCCCAAGCTGTGGAACTGATAATGCTGTGTCATAGCCAGTGAGGGCAGTGGATGGGAGCATGGGACAGTCTGCCTCAGGATCATCTGTGAAATGGGGATGATGATGATCATAGTGCTCACCTTATGGAACTGTCAAGAAACCCTTAGTGCTTGCTAGATTATCATCCTGTGAATGATCATGGGACAGTAAAGACACAAAAGTCCTCCCTAGATGTTTCTTAACATGGTGGGATTTCATTAAAAAAAATTTTTTTAATGTTTATTTCTATACTTGAGAGAGAGAGATATAGAGTGTGAGCAGGGGAGGGGCGGAGAAAGAGGGAGACACAGACTCTGAAGCAGGCTCTAGGCTCTGAGCTGTCAGCACAGAACCCGATGCAGGGCTCAAACCCACAAACCATGAGATCATGACCTGAGCTGAAGTTGGATGCTCAACCAACTGAGCCACCCAGGTGCCCCAAGTGGGATTTCATTTTAAAACTTAAGCCAATGGATTTATCCTATTTAGAGGAAGAGTTGTTTCCCTCTTGTTTCAGTTCTCTGCAAATGTGGAATGGGCTCTCAGCAATGCACACTCCAAAAATCCCCACCAGAGGCCCAAGCAAGTTCTAACAAAGATCCAGAAAGCGCTAACCAAGTATGTATAGGATGCAAATGCTAGAGACGCATGGATGTTTTTTAATATCACATCATTATTAATGTCCTTCCCATAAAGCTTCTCTGAAATATTTTTCTCATCTTTGTCACTTTCTTGTCCATGGAAAAATTGTGAGCATGCCAGCATCTTTAATAAGCTTACCTCCAACCTGTTCACATTTGATATAGTCTAGATTCTATCAGGCTGCTTTCATGCAGGAATTGTTTTACAATATAGGGAATAAATATTATAGCTTTGGCCATGGGCCTTCATTTTCACTTCTTTTTTGGAAGAGGAGCAATTAAGATGTATTATGATATGAGGTACTTTCTTTGGTTGCATAGTATTCCTTATTTTATTTTAGTGTGTGTGCATGAGCGAGAGAATTTTTTTTAATGTTTTAATTCATTTTTTGAGAGAGAGTGAGCACGGATGAGCAAGGGAGGGGCAGAGAGAGAGAGAGAGAGAGACAGAGAGAGAGAGAGACAGAGACACCGAATCTGAAGCAAGCTCTAGGCTCTGAGCTGTCAGCACATAGCCCAACGCAGGGCTCAAACCACAAACCTCAAGATCATTACCTGAGCTGAAGTCAGATGCTCAAACGACTGAGCCACCCAGGCGCCTGAAGAGAGTTCAGCAGCTCCATGCTCAGCGTAAAGCCCTATGTGGAACTTAATCCTACAACCCTGGGATCATGACCTGTGCCGAAATCAAGAGTTGGTGCTCAAGCGACTGAGCCACCCAGACACCCTGGTTGTGAAGTATTCTTTAATAATTTAGTAGCCGTTCAGGAAGTTTCTTACATGTACAATGATTTTTATTTCAAAGTGCTACATAGGTTTGGGTTGTGACCTAGTTTTTTACTCACTGTATCTGTGTTTAATTCCCTTCACAGATTCCATGGTTGACACTTTTTATGCTATTGGCCTTGTGATGCGGCTTTGCCAGTCCCTTTCCCTCTTGGAATTGCTGCATATATATGTTGGCATTGAACCAAGCCATCTCCTTCCTAGGTTTCTGCAGGTAGGTGGTGGTTTTATTTACTTATTTTTTTAACAATATTATTGACTATAATCTCTATGCTGTACTTTTCATTCCTGTGACTTATTTTATAACTGGAAGTCTGAACCTCTTAATCTCCTTTATTTATTTACTCACCCCCTACTCAGCTCTCCTTTGATAACCATCAGTTAGCTCTCTGTATTTAAGAGTCTGCTTTAGTTTTTTTTTTTTTTTTTTTTTGGTTGGTCATTTGTTTTTTAGGTACCGCATGTAAGTTAAATTATATGGTATGGTCTTTCTCTCTCTGACTGACTTCACTTAGAATAGTACCCACTAGTTCCATCTGTGTTCTTGCAAATGGCAAGATCTCATTCTTTTTCATGGCTGAGTGCTATTTGTGTGTGTGTGTGTACCATATCTTCTTTTTTTAAAATTATTTTTTAATTTAATTTATTTTTTAAAATTTACATCCAAGTTAGTTAGCATATCATGCAACAGTGATTTCAGGAGTAGATTCCTTAATGCCCCTTACCCATTTAGCCCATCCCCCCTCCCACAACCCCTCTAACAACCCTCTGTTTGTTTTCCGTATTTAAGAGTCTCTTATGTTTTGTCTCCCTCCCTGTTTTTATATTATTTTTGCTTTCCTTCCCTTATGTTCATCTGTTTTGTATCCTAAAGTCCTCATATGAGTGAAGTCATGTGATATTTGCCTTTCTGTGACTAATTTCGCTTAGCACAATACCCTCTAGTTCCATCTATGTAGTTGCAAATGGCAAGATTTCATTCTTTTTGATTCCATTGCATATGTATATACCACATCTTCTTTATCCGTTCATCCATCAATGGACATTTGGGGTCTTTCCATACTTTGGCTATTGTTGATAGTGCTGCTATAAACATTGGGTGCGTGTGCCTTTTCAAAATAGCATACCTGTATCCCTTGGATAAATACCTAGTAGTAGAATTGCTGGGTCATAGGGTAGTTCTATTTTTAATTTTTTGAGTAACCTCCATACTGGTTTCCAGAGTGGCTGCACCAGTTGCATTCCCATGTACCACATCTTCTTTATCCATTCATCTGTGGATGGACACTTTGATTGCTTCCATATCTTGGCTATTGTAAATAATGCTGCAGTAAACATAGTGGTGCATGTATGTTTTCAAGTTAGTGTTTTTTGTTTTCTTTGGGTAAATACTCAGTAGCAGGGTTACTGAATCATATAGTATCTTGAGTTTTAATTTTTTAAGGAACCTCCATACTGTTTTCCATCATGGCTGCATTAATTTATATTTCCAACAACAGTTCCCCTTTCTCTACATCCTTGCCAACAGTTTCTATTTCTTGTTTCTTTGAATCTAGCCATTCCACCAGGTGTGAGGTGATAGCTCAGTGTGGTTTTAATTTGCCTGTCCTTGATGGTAAGTGATGTTGAGCATCTTTTCATGTGTCTGTAGGCCATCTCTATGTTTTTTTTTGGAAAATGTCTATTTAGGTCCCCCTCCCATTTTTAAATGGGATTAGAGGTTTTTTTTTTTGGGGGGGGGGTTGAGTTGTGTAAGTTCTTCATATATTTTGGTTATTAACCTCTCATCAGATATTTCATGTGCAAATAAATATCTTTTCCCATTCACTAGGCTGCCTTTTTGTTGATGGTTTCATTAGCTGTGAAAACCCTTTTTATTTTGGTGTAGACCCAATAGTTTAATTTTGCTTTTGTTTCCCTTGCCCAGGGAGACATATTCATAAATATGTTGCTAAGGCTAATGTCTAGGAGATTACTGACCCTGTTTTCCTTGGGGTATTCATGGTTTCAGGTCTCACATTTAGGTCTTTGATCCGTTTTGAGTTTGTTTTTTGTGTACGGTGTAAGAAGGAGGTTGAGTTTCATTCTTTTGCATGCAGCTGTCTCATTTTCTCAACACCATTTTTTGAAGGGACTGTCTTTTCCACATTGGATATTCTTGCTTCCTTTGTAGAAGATTAATTGACCATATATTCTTGGGTTTATTTCTGGGCTCTCTCTTCTGTTCCACGAATCTGTGTATGATACTGTTTTGATTACTCCAGCTTTGTTGTATATCTTGAAATCTGAGGTTGTAATACCTCCACTGTGTTATTCTTTCTCAAGACTACTTTGTCTATTCGAGGTCTTTGGTGGTTCCATACAAATTTTAGGATTACTATTTCTCATTCTGTGAAAATGCTGAATCTGTACTTTGCTTTGGGTAGTAGGGACATTTTGATGATACTAATTCTTCCAGTCCATGAGCACGGTTCTGCAGAGAGGTGTTAATCACATTACAGTCTTCTAGAATCTGTTTTGTATTTTGTACTGTTTCAGCCTCCCTTGACTTAAAGCTAGCAGTTAAAAAGCAAACCCCTGCAAACTTGCAACCCAAGTCCATAATACGAATTCTGTTTTTAAGGGGCGCCTGAGTGCTTCAGTTGGTTAAGCGTCTGACTTTGGCTCAGGTCATGATCCTGCGGATTGTGGGTTCGAGCCCCGCATTGGGCTCTGTGCTGACAGCTAGACTGGAGCCTGCTTTGGATTCTGTATCTCCCTCTCTCTCTCTGCCCCTCCCCTGCTCATGCTGTCTCTCTTTCTCTCTCAAAAATAAATAAAACATTAAAAAAAAAAATAAGACCTCATTCTAAGACACTGCGCAGACAAGCCAGTTGGAAACCTTCAGGGCAATGACGCTGAGGGTCTGTGTGACACTTTAGTGATACTCTCTTAGGGATGGATTTCCCAGCCATTTCCCATTCTCACTGTGCCACCACCCCCGGCAGTGTAGGACAGAGGAGAGTCCTAGGATTGGAGTCATTCAGACTTGGGTTGATACCTGGCTCTTCTTCCTGTCACTGTGGGATAATATCCACAGTTTTTGAGCTGTTGAAAAAGACACCACACAAAATATCTGGCAATGTGTAAATGATCCAAAAAGACAAAAAAAAAAGTGTCCTTCATCTGTATCGAAAGAATAGAATACTCAGCCATTTCCTGTTTTTTCTGCCACTTTTACTGAATACAGATGGAAAGGAGAGATTCATGTTTATCTAAGTATAGCCTCAAATCATAGCCTTGGGAATTCTGCAGACCTAGATTCAAATCCCAGTTCAAGTTCTTACTAGTTGTATGAACTTATTTTTTTATTTCAAGTTTTTATTTAACTTCCAGTTAACATAGTTAACTAACATACAGATAATAGTTTCATGAGTAGAAACTAGTTGTGTGAATTTAAACATAGAAACTGTTGGTGCGCCTGGGTGGTGGCTCTGTCGGTTAAACATCCAACTTTGGCTCAGATCATGATCTCACAACTTGTGAGTTCGAGCCCCACTTTGGGCTCTATGCTCACAGCTCAGAGCCTGGAGCCTGCTTCGAATCCTGTGTTTTGCTCTCTCTGCCCCTCTCCCGCTCACAGAAGAGGAAGAAATTCTCATAGAGAGAGGAAGAAAAAGGTATTTTCTATATGCAAAGAGAAAAGCTAGGTGACTATATGAGCATATATGTAAAATCTACAGAAAAAAGGTATCGAAAGGTAAAATCTACAGAAAAACCTTATTTGCAAAATAAATTGGGCAAATGGAAATAACTCAATTTGACAAATTTGCATCGTAAAAATAATCTGTCAGAATCTGATTGTATTGCCAGCACCCAGCACGGTGTTTAGGGCATCACCATACACCTTAAATTTTTGTTGAATAGCGTGGCCTCGATTCTTATATTAAAATTTGCTTAAAATACCATGAAAGTTTAAAAGATAAAAATAGGACTATAATCCTAAAGAGGCTCTTAAGAACTCAGCATTTTAAGTTTATGGGTGATTTTAAATTTTACTTATTAAATAAAAGTAGAGAAATAGTATTCATTAAGATGAAGACATTTTAAGGGTTGAAATATCAAATGTAAAATAAAAGTCAGTGTAATGTTTAGAGCCTGAACTCTAATAACAGTAGTCAGCTAGCCAAGACCTAGATGGACTCTGCTTAAATGTATTTCCTTACAAAATAAAAAGGAATACATGTCCATCCCAGAAGAAGCATATTTGGGAGCAAGAGTTATTTATTACATGTTAGCTAACACAATGCTTACAGTTCCAGCATCCCATCCTGTTGATTTTAGAGAAGAGAATTAACCATCCAGGTTGAATGCAAGTTGTAGTCTATCATATGGAATTATTTTACCTGGAGTATGACCAAATTCATTGAAAGGCTTAGTCACGTTTTCTTTTGTTATACTTAAAAAAAAATTCTTTTTAACATTTATTTATTTTTGAGAGAGACAGAGACAGAGCGTGAGCAGAGGAGGGGAGAGAGAGAGGGAGACTGAGAATCTGAAGCAGGCTCCAGGCTCTGAGCTGTCAGCCCAGATCCCAATGTGGGACTCGAACTCATGAACCGTGAGATCATGACCTGAGCTGAAGTCGGCCGCTTAACCGACTGAGCCACCCAGGTGCCCCTCTCCCCTCTTTAGGTGTACTTTCTTTTGGTATTTTTTTGGTTCTGTATATTTTTGACTTTTTACTTTCTTAGGCTAAATTGGTTAATATTAGCTTCATGGTAAACCAGCACTTTCAAAATTAAGAGTAGTTATTATAGTTGTTGACAACGTAAGTAACCCAAGTAAGAATGGGATAGGTAGACTTGTGGGAAAGAAAATAGAGCACCCTAATTGTGCCTAGAAAATGTGTACCTTTTTTATGATTTTCCAAAATTATGTAGGCTTGCCTGGGCTTAGAGATTATTATGCAATTTAAGAATTCTGATTTCTTGGAGTTCCAGAAATTCTAGAATATTTAAATATGATTTTAATCACTGTTAATCTAATGTGATATAATTATAGAACTATGGTCACTGTAGTCAAACTATATCCTGGTTTGGTAATTAAAAAAAAAAAAACAATGGTGGGGCGCCTGGGTGGCTCAGTCAGTTAAGCGTTCGACTTCAGCTCAAGTCATGATCTCACGGTTTGTGTGTTTGATCCGTGCATCTGGCTCTGTGCTGACAGCTCAGA